CAGAAAGTAGCAGAACGATCAGTTTTTGTTTTGAATTGTTATGTAAGACTGCATATATTTCATAGTCAATTTGTACATCAAATGCATCAACTTCAGTGAAATTATCAGAACGAGCTGTTTTTAATTCATATCATAACTTGAGGTTATTTAAAAAAGATTTGCATGACAAACGCCAACATCAATTACATCGCTTTTACTGAAAGTGTCCGAAGGAGCAGTTTTTCATTGGAAGTATATGTTGAAATTTTTTAGTTAGAGCTCATCGTCAACAAGTACATCAATTATATCAATTTGACTAAAATTATCGAAAGGAGCAGTATTTGTTTAGAGTCAAAATTGAAGATTGTTTAGTTTAGAGTTCCATAATCAACATGTAGGTCAAATACATCTCTTTTACCAGAAAAAGAGCAATTTTTGTTTCAAACTGTATCTTAAGATTGTTTATTTAGAGTTGAAAATCACATGTTCATCAATTACATCAATTTTAGTGAAAGTATCAGACGGAGCATTTTTTTTTTTGAATTGTAACTTGAGATTACTTAAATTAGAGTTTCATAATCAACCAAAAGCAAATACATCACTTTTACTGAAAAATTCAGAAAGTGCAAACACATCACTACTATCAAATACATCACTTTCACTGAAAGTGTTAGGTGCAAAAACATCACTACTATCAAATACATCACTTTTACTGAAAGTTTCAGGAGGAGCAGTTTTTGTTTAGAGGTTTAAGGTAAGATTGCCTAAATTTCATATTCAACTTGCACATCAAATGCATCAGTTTCAATCAAAGTATCAGAGGGAGAGAAACGTGACGTTGTGCCTCCACAACAGCTTCTGCCGGAACAGAGAATCTAACTTTGATCCCCTACCTTGTTGTAAACAAAGAGTAGAAGAGCAGAAGTGTTGGAGGACTGCTTCCAACAGCGTCAGGGTAGCCACCGGCGTGTTGCAAGACACAAAAACTGAAAGTGCAGAGTCAATGTCGCAGGAGGAGGAGATGGAACATTGACAAATGGCCAAAGAACGAGATGCAAAAAGAAAGAAATTAGAAGAATTTAGAAGTATTGGAACTTCTAAACGACGAAAAAAGAAGAAACAAAGAATTGACGAAAGAAAAGAAGTCAAAACTCAGAATTGTTTTGTATAGGACAAAAACTCAAATGAGAAACGAAGCAACCAAGTAAATGAAACTGAAAGAAAACATTTAGTTGAGTTTTGAACGTTAAAGATTTTGCTGCATTTATAAATTTGCATTTTAATTTTAGTTAGTGGCTTTAGAGACACTTACTATTTATTTAGAAAGGCTTGAGTGAAAAGTATATTTAAATATTCCAACCTGCATGATTGTTTTTAATCAACTAGGACGACTGATCACTCTGTGGTGACATGAAAGACTTGGGTAATCTCTTTAAGAGGGAGATTATGTCATTGTTCTTTCTAACCACAGAGTTCCTTAGTTTTAATATTCAGGAACAATAACAACTAAATTTCCGAAGGGAAGAAGCATAGTAGGATAATTTTAGCTTGTTGGTTGGCAGGACTGTCCTGCAAACTAACACCTTTTAAAACCTAGGAGAAAAAGTTTTAAATCAGGGCATTGATTTTGGAAGTCAGAAAAAATTTTTCATTTTAGGTCATATCCTCGAAAGTGCAGATTAGTGAAAGAATTTGGAATGCTATAGTAATGTGATATGATGCCATTTATATTCTGCAGTGAGTCAAAATGGCGTGGATAAAAGTGATTTCGTGCATTTTGTAAATTCTGTTTGATGGCACTGTACCATTTTTACGAAGACTACGAGATTCAATGGGGACATTGACCGGGCTGTCCGGGGAGTATGTGATATTCGATCAGAATTGACAAAAGTGCAATTTCTAATTGGTGGCCGCTGACCCTGAGAATTGGCAGTTTTAGTAGGTTAGCGACGTTATTTGAACGATTAGCTAAACTGTGAAGGTCAGGATATTCTGTTATTTTAAATTTTTTAAATTTCGAATGATGACGTCATATTTACGAGAAACGACGAAATCGCCATTTTTAGAAGAAAATCAGAAAGAAAACACAACAACAGCGATAGAAACAACGACGAGAAATAGAAAATACGACAGAGTATTAGCAGAGACCGCTCCGAGTTTCAATGATTGTGTCGATACAATCGTTACAAAGCCATTCACGCCAACGGTGAAGGGTAATGGAACCCTGAATTCAGCCTTCCGGAGAGGAAATAAGAGTGTTTTTTCCCCGGATTCAAGAATCCGGAGGGGTCTTGAGACCTGAACTCGAACTGATAAAAACAAACTTTTAGCTTCCTGTTCATGCCCTGAATTGAAATTAATTAACATCTAGATTCATTTTCTGATAATGAGAAGCTAGGAATTGAGGTAGAGGGTTGATCCATTTTCGATGGAGATGATGACTTTTATCTACTGAACAAAAACAATAGTAATATAATAAGTAGTAGTTGCTCTGATTTTAGGAGTGACCTCGTGGTCTGGGAATACTGAGACCCAGCCATGAGCTCACTAATTTTGCATGTAATTAAGTTAATTTGAGTGTTCTGGTCGAAGCCGGACAACAGTAGCGTTTTTGTCGACCCGATCTCAGAGAGACCACCAAATGAACTGGCTTTGGTAGAGACGGTGAAAAGCATGTAGAGCTTTGTTTAGACGCTGGCCAGTCGTTTTCTAGCTTAGCTTTGTTTTCCATCGATATTTACTTCCGAGCGAATGTTACAAAATACACAAATTTCACTAACACTATCAGAAAGGGCACTTTCAGTTCGAATTGTAAAAATGTCCTACTATAAATTTTCATAATCAACATGTACACCATTTAAATCCTTTTTACTGAAAGTGTCAGAAGGAGCAAATTTTGTTTCGAGTTGTAACGTAAAATTGCATAGGTTTCAGAATTAAATTGTAAACCAAATGCATAAATTTTATTCAAAGTATCAGAAAGAGCGATTTTTATTTCGAACTGTAACTTAGTATTACTTCTAATTTAATTTCATCAACAACATCTACATCAAAGTCATCCTTTTTACAGAAAGTATGAGAATGATCAGTTTTTGTTTTGAATTGTTATGTAAGACTGCCGTGTTTCATAATTAACTTGTACATCAAATGTATCAATTTTAGTGAAAGTATCAGAAAGAGCTGTTTATAGTTCATAATATAACTTGAGGTTATTTAATTTAGATTTTCATAATAAACGCTTACATCAATTAGATCGCTTTTACTGAAGCAGTTTTTTTGTTGGAATTGTAAAGTAAAATTATTTAGTTAGAGTTCATCGTCAACAATTACATCAAATACATCAATTTGACTAAAATTATCGAAAGGAGCTTTATTTTTTTAGAGTCAAAACTGAAGATTGTTTAGTTTAGAGTTTCATAATCAACATGTATATCAAATACATCACTTTTACTGAAAATGCCAGAAGGAACAGTTTTTCTTTTGAGTTTAAACGTAAGATTGCATATTCATATTCAACTTGTTTATCAAGTGCATCAGTTTTAGTGAAAGTATCAGAAAGAGCAGTTTTAATTTCCAATTGTAACTTAAGATTGCTTATTTCAGAGTTTCATAATCAACTTGTACGTCAAATACATCACTTTTACCAAAGAAGAGCAATTTCTGTTTCGAACTGTATCTTAAGCTTTTTTATTTAGAGTTGATAATCACATGTACATCAGTTACATCAATTTTAGTGAAAGTATCAGAGGGAACAGTTTTTTTAATTGTAACATAAGATTACTTAAATTAGAAATTCATAATCAACTGAAAGCAGATACATCACTTTTACCGACAGTTTCAGAAGGTGCAAACACATCACTACTATCAAATACATCACTTTCACTGAAAGTTTCAGGTGCAAAAACATCACTACTATCAAATACATAACTTTTACTGAAAGTGTCATGGTTCATTTTTTGTTTAGAATTTTAACTCAAGATTACCTAGCTTTGAGTTTCATAGTCAACATGTACATCAAATACATCACTTTTACTGAAAGTGTCCGAAAGGTCAGTTTTTGTTTCGAATATAACGTAAGATTGCATAAGTTTCATGATCAAATCTCTTCTCAAATGCATCAATTTTAGTGAAAGTATCAGAAAGAGCGGTTTATAATTCATGTTATAACTTGAGGTTATTTAATTTAGATTTTCATAATAAAAGTTTACATCAGTTAGATCGCTTTTACTGAAAGTGTCAGAAGGAGCAGTTTTTCGTTGGAATTGTAAGTTAAGATTAATTATTTAGAGTTATTATCAACAAGTACATCAAATACATCAATTTGACTTTTACTGAAAGTGTCCGAAAGATCAGTTTTTGTTTTGAATTGTAACGTAAGATTGCATAAGTTTCATAATCAGCTTGTATATCAAAGGCATCAGTTTTATTGAACATGTCAGAAGGAGCAATTTTTGTTTCGACTTGTAACTTGATGTTACTATGTTTAGAGTTTCATAACCAACATGTAAATCAAATACATCTACTTCACTGAATTTTTCAAATGAAGCGATTTCGTTTCGATTTTTCCAGATTTCAGTGAATCATTTTCTGGATTTCAATAACATCTGGCACGAGTTATTTTTACAAAAATTGAGAATAAAATATTTTAATTCGTTTCAATATCATGATTTTTCTCCGTGTTACCAGTAAATGGTTTAAATTGATCTAAAATGGGATATTAGACACTTGAATCGATCTGCTCAGGGGACTTTTAAAAAGAATTTAAATAGATTTAATGGGATGGGTTTCGGATGGATTTTAGTGAGTCGGAAACTCTATCCACACCAATTTAAATCGATTTTTTTCGACACTTAAATCGATCCAAATGTTTAAAAAAAAAGATGATTATTTAATCGATTCAAAATCCCTTTAAGCTTGTAAAATGTAACAGATTAAATTAAATCGACAGATAATTTAAATCAATCTCCATTTCGTGAGTGCGGGAGCTCATGTGCATGGGGATGAGTAGCCTACGTACTAACCTGCGCCTTCATCCATCAGAAACTTCACAATGTCTGTGTTTGCTTTTCTGATAGCGAACATCAAAGCCGTTGTCCCGTCGCGGTCTGCTAGTTTCGCCAGCTCACGTCGCAAATTCGGAGTTTTCATAACTTGAAACACGAATTTGATTTCGTCAAATTTATCCAAGCGAACCAAATAACTCAAAATCGACTGTCCGAATCGGTTCGTACATCTCAGGTCAAGAGTCTGATTTTGGTTTAGAAAATCAATCGTTTCGAGAAATTTCAAGTCGATCATTTTGATAGCCCAATGCAATAAAGGATCCCCCATTTTGTTCAAACTTTCGTTCACGTGACCGGTTATTTTACCCAGAAGTATCTTCGAAATTTGCTCATTTTTTAGCATCATAGCTAGCTCTAAAGGGGTCAAACTAAGTTGATTGCGGGCTTCACACAGAGATTTTGTCTTTTTATCTGTGGACACAAGTTCCACAAGATCCCGATTTCCTCTGGCAACGGCAAAATGCAGCAGGTTGTTTCCAGCCGAGTGGGTCATGCCTTCCGGCAACCGTATGCTCGCGTAGGCAGTTTCTGTTACATTCACACTTTTCTGACCAATCAGAAACTTAACCAATGCCGTGTTGTCATGCTCAATTGCGAAGTGCAAAATCGTTTTGCCGCTTGAGGGCTGCTTTAAACTTAGATCGAATTTTTTGTCAACCAAAATTCGAACAATTTCTCTGCTTCCCGGCTGGATTCGCTGGCCAGCGTAGTGCATTGCAGCCATCTGGTTGTGATCTAACTTGTTGCGAAGCTGGTCGCAATTTTGATTGCTAGCCAGGAAATTTTTCAGATCTTGAGGAGTTTCGCGAAGAATTAGGTCAACCAACTTTGACAACTGGGGATGTGTCGGTACGTTGTGGTCGTCTAAAACAATTCATATTATTCAAGTTGCTGTTTGCTTTTTTGCTGTGAAAGCTTCATCTCCAAATGTGTTCTCAAAAACATGCCTCAATGTAACTAAATTGAAAGTGCATTTCATCAAAATGTATCAAACATTGCGCGAATGATTCCATGGACTTATCAGCGCAGTACCTGGGTGCTTCTCTCGTAGCAGCACGTAGTTCGAAATAGACAAACCTAAACCTGTATTATTTTCCTGCTAAATAAAAAAACAAGCTGAGTAAAAAGTTTAGTTTTGGTTACAACTTAGATAAAACAACGTGGTTATATCAAATATGATTGCAAATTTATTGAGAAAAATCTTTCAGTTGAAATGATAAAACTTCAAAAAATAGCCATAACTGTACGTGACATGAATGCTACACAAATCCCCATTATTTTGACTAAGACCCTTTCGTGTGCCATACGTAAAATACCCATTTTTGTTCCTCATTGGCTACACGAATGAACTGTTAAGGCGTCTGACGGGAAAATAAAAAGGAGAACCCGAAGTGCAAAAAAACAAGACTGCTCGTATGCCACACGGCAAAGCCCTGAATGTTCCGTCTGCCTTTTATGGCCTCGAATAGATTTTGGTAAATTAAAAATTTACTGTGCATGGAATGAATACGACCAATGAGCTTGCGTCAATTCAATTTGGAACATTTTTGTAGTGCGAGATGGAGAGGGGGGGGGGGGGGTTCTCACGATAGAGGGACCAAATGATGGAAAAGATTGAGTTAAGAGTTAATCAGATTCGTTAGACGTTCCTATTGGCTAAATGACTTCAATTGAAAATTCATGTATCAACGTATTTTCTAATCAGTCAAAATTTTTATTTTGATGGCCTTTGAGATTTTTGAAACTCAATTCTGATTGGCTATGTATTGGAAAGTATGTTGGAAAGTATGTGAAAATAAGCTTCCAACATCTCCGTCTCTCCATCATGAGACACACCAAAAATTGTGCGGGATGATTCCCAGTAACCAAGCAGTTTTTCCTGACTCGTAGCAGAGCGACTGAGGAGTCAGGCTAGTCAGGGGCGGATTTAGGGGGGGGGGATGGATTTGTCGGACGCTTCTTTTTTAAGAATCCTTTTTTGGCCGACATATTACGAGGCCAAATTGTGCATTTTGTGCATTGTAAGCGAATTCTGCAACAGGGACGCTCCCTTTGTTCTTCTTTTGTTCTTTCATTCACTTTGATCGTTCCGACAAAATTTAAACATGTTTTTTGACTTGTCTCTGGAATCCAGGAACATACAGACACAAAAGTGTGCGCCTATCCAGTGCACAGTTTGGCCTCGTAATGGACCGACCCTAAAATTGTTCTAACTTAATATAATTACTTACTTTGAGGGGTAGCGCGCCAAAAAAAGGTGATTTTAAAATTTTTCCGAAAAGTGCCCAAAAACGGAATTTTTAGTTTTTTTTTCAAAAAATTGCCTGCGGTGAAATTTTGGCCCAAACAGCTTCTTTTTAGTGCTTTAGGAGAGCTAGAAAAATCAATTTTGTCGACCTAAAAAGAAAAAAAGTGTCAATATTTTCTAAATTTTTTTCCCGCACCCCTCGAGAAAACCTAGATCCTCCCCTGAAGCTAGTATAGTGGTGTGCGCCAGGACCACGCTGAGAACACGTAGATCAACGAAACGATCCCCTCACTCAGTAAATGTTTTTTTTTGGAACTTGGCCAGAATAAAGAAAAACCGCCCTAAGCATAAATGTTCTTCAGATTCTTCGGAACAACAATATAGTTCGGAACAACAATATGGCCAATTATTTTGACTGGTTTCAATGTGAACAATGAGTTTTTACAAAAAAATGTGCTCTTTTAAATGCACTCAAGGAAAAATTTGAACGAGAGCCGTCACTATCATAGTCAGAACCATCAACGAAGAAGTTGGAAACATAAGTTACTACTCAAGAACTGAAAAGTCATTAGAGAAAACGTAATTGTGTGAGAAAACTGAGTTAAAAACAACCTAATTTTCATCTTGAGCTTGTAATCTTTGCTTGGATTTATGTCTTTATATTTCTGTTCTCATTTGATTTAAATATATTTTTAGTATTTTGAGAGATTTAGGTTTATGTTATTGATCAAAACTTGAGGATACCACAAAGAAAGTAGAAAAAAATGAAGCTTTCTGGGGGCAACAACCGCCTAGCGGGCTGTATTTATGAATGAATAGTTAAAATAGCTTTCTTCTTCCACGAACGCTATTAGGTTGTCTTCGCTTGTAAAGCTGTTTTTGCCCCAAAATGAATCTTTAAAGGAGGATATCTTGCAAAATCTTGCAAGAATCTTGCAAGATCTTTTAGAGAGACGCATCCTCTTTAAAAGAATCTAGCAAGAATCTCGCAAGTTCTTGCTAGATAACCTCCCTTGATCGACTAGGGAAAGAAAACCTTAACAGTGCTCAATTTGGCTTTCAATAGTTTGGGTTGAAAACAAAAATCCCCGCAAGCAAATACTTTTCTCATTTTGAGCAAATATTTTTCTCATTTTTTTCGAAGTCGTAACAAAAATATCAAGATTTGAACATGATAATGGCGTAGAACAAAAATAATATTGTTGAAAAAAATTGTTGTCTACCCAATATCAGCATTGAGGTTTGTTGAAACTGAGAAAGAACCTTTTTTAATTGAATATTTATATCTAACTTTATTTCTAATATATACAAATTAGTCACTACAAATAATAACCAAAAAAGATCGAGCGATATGTCATATGTGCGGTTTCAGTCGTTTTGAGATAAAATTTTGAAAACTGCAAAAACTCTTCTCAGTGTCGAGAAAAGCTGTTTTGAAGTTTTTTCTGTTTTGTTATTTCGAGCGAGTCGGTATGTTATTATGAAGATTTTTTTACAGCACGAGGCCAAACTGTGCGTTTTGTGAATTGTAAGCAAATTCCGTAACACGGACGCTCATTTGTTCTTCTTTTGTTATTTCAATTTTTTTGATCGTTCCGACAAAAATTTAACATGTTTAAGGACATGTTTCTGAAATCCAGGAACATACAGACACAAAATTGAGCGCCTATCCAGTGCACAGTTTGGCCTCGTAATGTAAATCTGAAAACTTTGGTTTCGTCTCCGTATAACTAGTTTTTAAAGTTTCATCTGGCGGTTCTTGGCAATAAAAGATGCCTTCTTTCAAATCAAATTTTTTGACGACAAGTTTAGTCGATCAAGTGTAATTTATTTCGGTTCGAAATTTGCGTTTCGTACTCAACACACAGAAAAACGGTTAAATTTTGATATGTCAGAATTTACTGTGGTGAACAGTCTCTTTGTATTTCTTTTTTTTCGCTATCATATACTCTAAATACATGAGCGCTAATTGTGTCTTCCAGAAATTTTACCGTGGAAAAAGTGAGAAACACTGGAATGCAAAATTAATCTGTGCAGTTCTTTTGAAAAAACCGATTTTTGTAATTTTGTCGAAAGTGCATATGCAAGTTGTAGGGCATAAGTTTTGTGAAGTAAGTGTTACCTTCTTTCTTGGCTGCGTGATGGTATGCAAGGGCGCCTGCATTGTGGGCTAAGCGAGCCGTAGGAGCCACACTGTTCTTGCTCATTTTAATCCACCGCGGCTGCTTATTAAATAAAGTCTGGATTATAATGCTGAGCTCTCAGCTGTAAACCATTTAACAAAGTCCACTTAAAAACTCTCGTGGCCCATACGAAAAATGACTTAAACTTACTCTGTGTTTGCGTATAGTTCTTGGACTGTAAAGCTGCGTTTTCAATTGCATATAATTTTTATGACGTCTTTGTCAAGAACGCTGTATATTGCATGCTCTGTTTTTAACGATTGTTACAACTGCCTTTTTATGAAAATTGACGTGACGCCCATTCGTAAAAAGTACGGTTATAGTCAAACATTGGATGTTTCTTTAACAGATGTTTACAAAATGCGCCAAAATGTGAGAGAATCGAGGTATGTCTATATTTTTTGGGTCAACCAAAAAGACAATTTTGTTTCGAGGGGCGCTCGACTTCAACTATACTTTGTTTGCTACTATCTTCAACCATACCCATCTATATAATGTTTATATGGAAAAAGCTTCACCATATATGAAGAGTCTTTTTTCAAAGAAATCATATGTAGAGGGATATGGCTGCGAGCATCTTTCAAATAAACAGTTTCAAAAGAATATTTCACAACAAAATTTTAGAATAAATGTATAGTTTTGTTCAGATTTTACTTAAATTGACGGAACAAGTACAAACATTTTCATACACTTCAACGTACTTCGCATCCCTTCATTTTTTGAGATCTTTCTTGTAGCAAGTAGATGTCTTTTATAGCAACAAATTTTCATTTTTTCAACCTATATTTTTTACCGTTTTTATGTGTTAAAAAGAATATGAATTCTAGTTGGTGCAGCGTATATTGACCAGTTCAACTGATGATGTTTCCCCGTAAGACCGGATTTAATGCATGTTGGCAAAAACGAAGCATAGGTTGCAGTTTTGGCCGGCTCTGGATGACGATTAGACCAGCCATGGGAATTTCTGAAAATTCTCGGGCTTCAAGAACCTTCGCTCGACCTAATACTAAATCTTTCCACAATGGACCTTCCTTTCTGTGACTCCTTAGCACCCTCTGGAAGCCGTTTTTTTTCTGTGGTTGTTATATCAGGTTGGTTCATTTACTATCGGCGGAGATGTGGCGGTGCTGCTCGACGAGGCCGGTGAAGAAAGGATTACATAACAAATTCAAGTAATGGGCGCCAGCAGAGTAGGAAGCTGGCGCCGTCAGCAACACTCCTGCAGCCAGAACATTAGTGGCCTCAAATCCAGTTTGGCCTCAAATGAGTCCAGTTCAGCAGGTAGATTTACAATGGGAGAAAGAGGGCCGATCCGGTGGGACCGTTTTGCAGTTTTTGCTTAGTTTTGGAAGAATGATCGCATCGTTTTCTGAGGTTTGGAAAAAGCAGACTTTTGATGGTTGTTTCGAAATTCCGCGATTGAGAATAAAAGGTTATAGTGACGGTACGGATTGTTGTAAATGAAAAGATTTTTTGGTTGAAATTGGTGTTGCTTTTATACTTAGTTCTGACAAACGTTGTCTTACTCTTCAATTCAACAAGGTGCTAAAAGTTTAGTTGAGAAGTCCATTTGAGGTGTGAAAATGCTATCAAATTTTCAGGCTTCAAACAGCGGTGTGAACGTGAGTTTTGGTGAATAGCGCTTCTCAAGCTTCCGACTTTACAGGTACTTTTCCCGTCAAAACTTATGCTTCTGAATTGAACACATCCCGGGTCGAGATCCTGCTCAAAAACCGCTCAAGATTTGAGCGGTTTGAGCGGTTTTCCAGCAAGATTTGAGCGGTTTGGGCGGTTTTTTTGGAAAAACCGCTCAAACCGCTCAAATCTTGGATAAAAAACCGCTCAAAAACCGCTCATTTCTTGCGGTGGTTTTTGAACGGTTTTTCAAGCAAGATTTGAGAGGTTTTTGAGCGGTCTTCCCGGTTCGAGGTCCCAGTCTCTACGTTTCTCTTCTCTGCAAAACTCGAACGAACACGTTCATCCAGGGGCGACCAATATGTAGTAATTTTCCAAAAAGTGCCCAAAAACAGCATTTTTGACCAGCTTTTCACGTCAACAACCCCAACCCCCCGCCCCAACTTACCCCCCCCCCCCGCCAACGTACTCCCTCCCCCCAAAGGGGGGACATCAACTCTAGTAAGAGGTGGGGGGGGTTGGTGTGCGATCTTATAATCGATTATTTTTGTTATTTTGTAGAGACTGACAATAAAAATCCTGACAGTATATTTGTTGTGCATGTCTAAAACAATGAACATATTCAGTAGAACAAATACAGCAAATATTAAGCTTCCAGCAAGTCCGCATAGACTAATGGATAAGGCGTCTGACTTCGAATCAGAAGATTGCGGGTTTGAATCCCTCCGTGGTCGACTTTTTAATATTAAATCTTGCGCGGTTTTTGAGCGTTTTTTTTTTAGATAAACCGCTCAAAACCGTCCAAATCTTGCGCGGTTTTTGAGCGGTTTTTGAGCGGTTTTTTTTAGATAAACCGTACAAAAACCGCTCAAACCGCTCATTTTGAAGCAAGATTTTGAGCGTAATTGCCTAAAAAAACCGCTCAAACCGCTCAAATCTTGCTTCAAATTAGGTGAAAAATCTCGACTCGGGATGGTAATCTTGATTGAGCGCCGAAGGTAATAAACTATTCTAATTCTATGTCTCTATATGTACAATTACTGTACATAACCTTAAAAGGACTAAAACTATTAAAAGAAAGCATGTGATTTAAGAACGTTAAAAGAACAACTGAACTTCCGATCAGATCGACCAATGGTCGTAACTAAATTGGTTAACAGGTAATAATTAAATACCGAAGGTCTTTTAAGAACTAAAACAAATCACAACATTACCCACCGGGAAAAAAACTGCAAACTAACTACATAACTCTATATACGCCCTTTTTCCCCCTTCGAGAATGGAAAAATTTTACAAACTGTTCCATGAAGGTAAATATACAGAAGCAAAATAGAATCCACAATTGAGAGAGAATGTACAATGTACAGGGTGACTATACAGAATTACAAAAATTACAGGGTACAGTAACTAACTAAATTGAAACTAATCCATAACATGTACATTAAAATGTACAATTGTATCTACAGTTAAAATTGAAAATCCGACGGTAAGATATGGTTCAAGTTTGTTTTGTTCAGTTTATTTGATATGTGAGTTAACTGAATTGGTTGTCAAAATCATCCAATTTAGCCCTCGTTTCCGAATCTATAGACGAGGAGATTTCGCTACAGTTGTCCACCTCGTGCAGGGAGTCCTTCGTGGTCTGGTAAGCTGAGTTTGAGCCCGAGGAATTTTCTTGGAAATGAGTCTTCGTAGGAGAGGTTACTGGTCTGACCGTCGGGAGAGAGTTCTTTGATGACCAGGATAACGTCGTTTCCGCAACGAGAATTTGTCGGAGAGGTGCCTCCGCTAGTGGTGTCAATAAACCGGACGGTGATGTGACCGTGAAAGTAGCCCTGTGAGTGTCGGGTGAAGAGGAGAATACTGAAGGTGACACCCCTGTGTCGTCTGTTTCTAGAACCACGTCTATAAAGCGGTGGTTTCCGTAAAACTGTGGGGGGCCCACATTTCTGCGTGGTCTAGAATTTTGAGGCTCTATCGTCGGGTTGTCCGTATGCTCCGCAGTACTGTCTGACAGTATTGGATTGTCTTGCGATCCTTCTGTCGTGGTCGAGTCGTGGATGACAACGATCTCCCGGAGGTCGGTTTTCGCTGGCATTTCTGAGCTCGGGTGTGGAGATCCGACGGTACCTGTAACACTTAAGCCCTGGTTAGATTCGGAATGATGTCTCTGAGGTATTTTGTTATTGATCACATCGTCGAAGTAATCATCGATTATCCCGTCCCACGAATCTAGGTTTAAAGAAGAAGAGGAACCTGAAGATATTCTTGAAGAGTCTTGAGTGGCCGCGCTCACTGTCGGTGCACTAATCCCTGCTCTGGTGTTGAAAGTTCTTGAGGTGCCTTGACCCGAATGCCCAGCGGGTTTCGATACAGCTTTCTTTGGTGGTGAAAGTTTTCTTTTCCCAATTAAACTCGAATGGGTATGAAGTTAATGCCCGGTGGGTGTCTGATTCACTATTATCTTTTTGGGCCCAGGGAGTATTTTTCCTTTTATAGCCAGATCCGATTTACGTAAAACGTGACCGTTGTCAAGGGTAGTGGTGTGTTCTGAAGAATCGATGATATCCTACTTAACCAGATTAAAATATGGATCCCTATTTTTCCTGTTAGACACTTTTCTATTTATGTTACCTCCCATGACTGCTTTTCTTTTTGCGAGAGGTTCTGAAGTTTGGTTAATGTCGTCCGGGGTTGTATTTAGGGTGACTCTCCTAGATAGTGGCAAGTTGTCTTCTGGATCTGACGTGCTGTCCTTTTCCTCGTCCAGATATCCATCTTCTGCCCTGTCGTAGAGTTCCCAGTTAGTGGCCCGATCTTTGGACATTATAGCTTTCCCTTTATCTGAATGGTCGCTATCGATCATAAGATTTTTCCACCTAGTTTTCGCTACTCTATAAAAATGTTTTTCAAAAGGTGTACAGCCGATCGCGGATTGCTTCGAGATTCTCAAATTCTACATGATTTTTTTTCGATCAACACATTTAGAGACGGCTTGGGTAATTCGAAAGACATACATTGCCAGTAGTTTCGATTTAAGTGTGTAAACTAATCTTTCCACTAGCCCATTGGATCTGTGGTCGCCGACTGTGCAGTAAATAATTTCCAAATTAAATTTTTCGCAGAAGTTTTTGAAATCATGTGATAAGAAGCATGACCCATGGTCGACTCTAATTTTTCTTGGGAATCCGTGTAGGTGACAGTAATCGCTTAAAAATGAAATTAAATTTCTCGTAGAAGTGTTGTTAACGATCTTGGCCGAAGGATACTTTGTATAACGGTCAATGCAAAGAAGAATGTATACATTCTTACCCCAGAACGCGTCCAACGGTCCCGCAAAGTCCAGATTAATTTCTTCGTTCGCGAATGTCAACGTCGGGAGTTTCGAATTATTATGGGTGCCTAGTAACACTTTAATGTTCTTACCAGCTTTTAGACATTGGCTACATGCTCTCCGTGATGGTAAATTTCCCGATACATTTGCGGCCAACACAAATATTCGGCAAGGGATTTCATCCCAAACTGTCCTGGATGAGTCTCATGAAGCACCGAATT